CAAAACCATAGAAACCCACGAGACCCAGGGCACCCTGGAGGAAGACACCCAGGGCACCCTGGAGGAAGACACCCAGGGCACCTTGGAGGCAAACAGGGTGTTTCTTGGCATGGGCCTCCACTGTACATCATCGGGCGCGGGGGAAGGGGGGGTGCGAGGGCCCGCGCCGATCGGCAAGACAAGGACTGAGAAAAAACGATGTCACCCGGCACCACACGTCACGCATGCGCAAATAATGCCCACCGACTGATGCAGGCAATGGCCTCCCTCCTCGCAGCTTACCCCACGTGCTCCGCCCGGGCCCCGGAGGAACTGAAGGGCTCCTGGGAGTCCTGCGCCGCTCACGGGCCCCTGGAGTCTGGGGCCCGCTTCCATCCCTCGGGGCGAGGTGTCTGGACCCTCGGCCGGTGTGCAGTGGTCGTCGTCGTCGTCGTCGTCGTCGTCGTCGTCGTCGTCGTCGTCGTCGTCGTCGTCGTGGTCGTCGTCGTCGTCGTCGTCGTCGTCGTCGTCGTCGTCGTCGTCGTCGTCGTCGTCCTCGTCGTCGACGCCGTCCTCGTCGTCGACGCCGTCCTCGTCGTCGTCGTCCTCGTCGTCGTCGTCCTCGTCGTCGTCGTCGTCGTCGTCGTCGTCCTCGTCGTCCTCGTCGTCGTCGCCGTCGTCGTCGTCGCCGTCGCCGCCGCCGCTTCCCTCCAATTGGCCAGGGCAGAGCCACGGACCACGCGGGTCGGGAAGGCGGGCGCGGGGCCCCCACGAAGTGCTCTCCGCCGCTCCCTCGGGGGGTATAGCACCCGCGGGGAAGCCTACCCTAAGCCCTACCCAAGGCCCTAGGGCACCCTACGCTAGGCCCTACCCAAAGCCTTAGGTAGCCTAGGGTAGGCCCTACGTCAGGTTCGTGTCGTGACGACCCCGACGTTGGTTTCTGACACCGCGTGGATCGTTCAACCTTGAACGATCGGCGACTGTGGATCGCTCGATCGTTCCATATAGGCCGATTCTGGGCCACTGGCGGCGTTCAACCTTGAAAGCCCGCAGCGGCGTCGCCGCCGGTCGACACGACGCGAACCTACCGTACCCAAGGCCCTAGGGCCCTAGGGTAGCCTAGGGTAGGCCCCAGGGTAGGCCCTACCCAAGGACCTAGGGCAGCGGGTCCCTGCCCTCGGTGGGCCCCCGGTGGGCAGGGACCCGCCGCCCGCCGGAGGGTCCCGCCTCCCTGGAGGCGAAGCACGGGTCGGGCACGTCCTCCTGCAGGCGGACGCTGGACGAAAAATGAAAAATAGTCAAAAAATGCAAGAACAGCCCAGAAATAATCGAAAAACTATTCTTGAACTATTTGAAAGTTTGGCTAGAATATCGACAAAAACATATTTGAAAAGTAGAATACTTGACTAGAACTTGAACTGAATACTTTAAAATGTGACTAGAACGTTGTTTGGAACTATTCGAAAACGCAAAATCCAAGAATAGTCCAGACCATGCTGACTCTTTTTGAACCATTGCTGGCGATCGTTGAATAGTCCTCCTGTAGAGGAACATGCCCGACGTACGGCGAGGCGCGTGGAGCCTCTGCGGCGCTCCTCGCGGCCCGGCGCGCCCCCCGCGCCCGGCCCCGCCAGGGGGGGGGCGCGGGAGGCGGGCCCTGCACTCCCGGGGGGGGGGGGGCTCTCCTCGCAGGCTCGGCGCTCCCCGACGGCCCTGGACAGGGGAACAAATTTTTGATCCGCGGGTCGAGAGCGCACCTCTTTCGGTCGAAGCTAAGCGGGCCGCGCGAAGCTTGAATTAACAAAGAGGGGGGGACAGAAGGAGCGCGGCCTCACGGCAAGGCCAGGAGGAGGCAAAGCCTCGGGATCAGGCGGTGCCGAAAACGACGTGCTTGCAAAGGAACGCCTTGTACAGGAACCCGGTGGCAAGGGCAGGGGAACAACCAGTGACATACACGTAAAAAAAAATTGTCCCGGCAAAGCAACCTAACAGCGATGTGTAGGAGCATATCTGGAAGCATTCCCCTTAAGATTCGGACGAGAATCCAGTTGTAGAATTCTGCTGTTCTCGCAGTCGTAGTCGCATTCGCGATGACAGTCGCAGTGGCAACGGCAGTCGCAGTCACAGCCTCAGCCTCAGCCTGCCTCAGCCTCAGCCTCAGCCTGCCTCAGCCTCAGCCTCAGCCTGCTTCAGCCTCAGCCTCAGTCTCCTCACCTCGCCTCAGCCCTCCGCCTGCTCAGCCGTCTCCTGCATGAGCCTCAGTCCTCAGCCTCAGCCTCATCAGCCACAGCCTCCTCATCCTCAGCTCACGGCCTCTGCCTCAGCCGCAGCCTGCGTCTGCCTCACCTCAGCCTGGCCTTCAGCCGCGGCCTCAGCCCGCACCGCCAGCCCTTCAGCCTCAGCCTGAGCCTCAGCCTGCCTCAGCCTCAGCCTGCCTCAGCCTCAGCCTCAGCCTGCTTCAGCCTCAGCCTCAGTCTGCCTTCAGCCTCGGCCTCAGCCTCCGCCTGCCTCAGCCTCAGCCTGCCTCAGCCTCAGCCTCAGCCCCCTCATCTCCCTTCAACCTCCGCCGTCCGCCTCAGCTGCCTCAGCCTCAGCCCAGCCTGCCTCAGCATCAGCCGTGCTCAGCCCTCAGTCGCCTCACCTCAGGGAGATGGCCGTGCTCATCAGCCTCACCTTCAGCCTCGGCCTCAGCCTCCGCCTGCCTCAGCCTCAGCCTGCCTCAGCCTCAGCCTCAGCCTGCCTCAGCATTCAAAATGTGGCCCGGGAATGGAATTCTGGGAACTCGAAAAACACGAAGTGGCCTACAGTTGGCTCCGGGCATTCAAAATCATGCCCAGGAATGGAGTTCTGGGAACTCGAAGACCACGAAGTGGCCTACAGTTGGCTCCGGGCATTCAAAATGTGGCCCGGGAATGGAGTTCTGGGAACTCGAAGAGCACGAAGTGGCCTACAGTTGGCTCCGGGCATCCAAAATGTGGCCCGGGAATGGAGTTCTGGGAAATCGAAGAGCACGAAGTGGCCTACAGTTGGCTCCGGGCATCCAAAATGTGGCCCGGGAACGGAGTTCTGGGAAGTCGAAGAGCACGAAGTGGCCTACAGTTGGCTCCGGTTATTCAAAATGTGGCCCGGGAATGGAGTTCTGGGAGGTCGAAGAGCACGAAGTGTGTGACTGTTGGCTTAAAACGAGCCCGGCTCTGTTCCCGGCCCTCCTCCCCGGCACCCGCCCAGACCCCTTGTGGAGTCCAAATGCTCTCTTTTGACCCCACTAGAAACCTATCAGCAAAAGCTGTTAGGTAAAAACTGGGAGGTCCACGCGGCTGGCGCCGGAGGCGCGCCAGGGAGGGGGGTCCAGAGCCGGTCCGAGAAACCCGCGCGGGCCTCCCGGTTCCTGTGTTCAGGACGTTGTTCGTTCCCCCGCAGGGGCCCGCGGAGGGCCCGCGAGCAGCTGGCGGCGCGCAGACGGGGGTAGGGGGAGTGGGGAAGGCTTCTCAGAAGCAGGCTGCCTCTTAGAAGGGGCGCCGGCCTCGCATCTGCAGAGATGGCCCGCGCCCTCCAAGAAGCCAGGGTGCTTCCGAGAAGCCTTCCCCCCTTCCCCTGCCCCCCTCTGCGCGTGGCCGAAGCAGACCGCGGGCGACCCGCTTCCCTCGGGGCGCCCCGTGCCTCCAAGGGCGGCCTGTGCTCTGGACGGGGACGGCGGTGGTGCACGGCTGCCGCCCGTGCGCTTCTGCCGCGGGCTGGCGGCGCGCAGGAAGGGGTGGCGCGAGGGGGGAGGCCGTCCGAGAGGGCGGGGGGGCTTCTCGGAAGGCAAGGGGCGTCCCGAGGGAAGCGGGGTCGCCCGCGGTCTGCTCGCGGGCCTTCCACGGGCCTCAGGGCCTATCGGGGAACGGCTCGGGACGGAAAGAGCCGATCCTGCGGAGAGGCCCCCCCCTCGGGAGTCCAGGGCCTGCCTCCCGCGCCCCCCCTGGCGGGGCTGGAAGAAGCGAGGAGCCAGCGCGAGCGCTGGCAGCGGCAGCAGGCGATCTCCAGCGCGCGAGGTCCCTCGAGGCCCCGCCCATCTCAGGCAGCCGCTGTCGGCCCCTCGGGGCGGCCTCTGGTGCGCCGTCGGGGAACGCTCGCTTCCACTCGATGTGGGCGGGAGGGAGGATGAGAGGCAGGACGGGAGGAGGAGGAGGAGGAGGAGGAGGAGGAGGAGGAGGAGGAGGAGGAGGAGGCGTCGGAGCGAGACTAGGACCCGGAGGGGCGAGGAGAGAGGGAAGGAAGTGGAAGAGGACGACGACGGACGACGGACAACGGACGGCGGACACGACAGACGATAAAGACGGACGACGACGGAGATGACGACGGCGACGACGACGTCCTCGACGGCGACGACGACGACGACGGACGACAGACGGACGAAGGAAGGACCAAGGACGGACGGACTGACGGACGACGGACGACGGAGGGACGGACGGACGACGGACGACGGACGACGGAGGGGCGACGGACGACGGACGAGGGACGACGGCGATACGGACCGACGAGGACGAGACTGACCACCCGAGGAGCCCCACCCGCGCCGAGAATCGCTGAGCGCGGCGCCCGTCGCCTCGCTCACAGTGCGGCGCAGCTCGGCCACGCTCGCCGCCTTGCCCCCCGCGCGGGCGGCGGAAAGCTCGCTGCACGCGGGGTGGCTCCGTGGCCGCGGTGTGCTCGCGAGGCGGCGGAAGCAGGGGCGCCGAACGTCGCGCTCTCGCGCTTCGCGGAGCGCGCAGCGCGAACCGCTGCGCGCTCCCGCGCCGCCCTTCCATAGGGGAGGGGAGGGCGAGGAGGAGCCGGAGCGCGAAGCGCGAAGCGCGAAGCACTGCGCGCCTCGAGGGGGCGCGCCCTCGAGCGCCTGCAGGCGGGGCCGTCCCGTGATCGCGGCGTGCTCACGAGGCGGCGACAATGCCGAGCGTATTACCCTGCGACGTACCACTCCTCCTCCTCCTCCTCCTCCTCCTCCTCCTCCTCCTCCTCCTCCTCCTCCTCCTCCTCCTCCTCCTCCCTATCCTCCTCCTCCTCCTCCTCCTCCTCCTCCTCCTCCTCCTCCTCCTCCTCCTCCTCCTCCATCTCCTCCGACACAACACGTATCCACGGAAGTGACCAGAGCACTGGGCCCGATCAGTGCGGATGATGGTGCGGCTAGGAGGAGCCCGATTTCGTTGCGAAAAGCGACGATGAGGGGACTCCCCCGTGCTGCATGACGCGGGCGGATGCCGGACCACACGGGGGGAGGAGTGCAGAGGAGGGGCGGGAGCGTGGAAGCAGAGTGGAACATAGCCAGCAACGTAGGCACCTTTTTATTATTGCTTTCGACATTTGGCCGAAGGTTGGGTGAAGGGCAACCTGGAATCGGCATCTAGGGCGGATGCATCGACCTGGAATCGGCGATACCTCGCCGACAGATCGGCGAGAGGCCCCCAGTAGTGAATCCGCACTTTGCTGTGCAGGTGGGGGCTATCGGGCCCCTATCGGCGATCAATGGGCGATTGGGGGTCGATTCATTCCCCCACTGTGGCAATCCCCCCCTATCGTTCCCCCCGATTGGGGGAGAGGGGGGGGGGTCTGGGTATGGGCCGGTGCTTAGTCGATCTGACTTTAAAAGTCGCACAACCAGACTGGGGCAGACGGGCCATGACCAGTCGCCAGAAGCAGCCGCCAACAGCAGCCAATATCTGGTCTACGAGCGGGGGAGGGGGGGACGGGGGGCACGGGCCCGCGCCGATAGGCAAAACAAAACATACAAAAAAAAAGCTGGCGACGACCTTCGAAAGTGGCGACTGTTTCGCAGTTCGCAGCGCACAAACCAGGCAGGGCGAGGTCTGCTCTCTGGGACCCCGTCGACGCCGCACTCCTGTGAGCCCCGGCAGCCCTCGAGTGTCGGCCGTGCCACCGTCTGCGGCCCCCCTGGGGAAGGCGAGATCTACAGATCTGGGTCCCCGTAGGCCGTCGTTCCGCTGGCCTCCCCTGCAGCCCTGGAAAGTCGGGTCGGGCGAAAGGGGGGGATCGCAAAGGGGGGGTTTGAGAATCAGCTCACGTAGCTGATTTCCCTGGCGCTCCCGGCGCCAGAGGCGACCATGTATCGAGGAATGGGCCCCTCGGTGGGGCCGAGACTAGCTGCATGCAGCAAATTTCGTACCCCCCCCTTGCCCAATCCCCCCCTCTTCGTCCGGAAAGCGGCGACGGTTTCGCGATTCGCAACACCCCGAGGCGTGGCGAGGAGGAGGAGGAGGAGGAGGAGGAGGAGGAGGAGGAGGAGGAGGAGGAGGAAGGGCTGGGCCAGGGCGGCGCCGAGCAAGGAGGCTGCAACGGCGGGCGGGGCCCCCCGCGCCGCGGAGCGCGAGGGGCCTGCGAGCAGCCCGGCGCCCGCGGGTCGATCTCGAATCCGAAAAGGTTCGCGTTGCGCTTTGGAGGACGTCCTGGGCGGAATCAACCTCGAATCCGAAAAGGTTAGAGTTGCGCTCTGGAAGACGCCATGGGCGGAATCGGAGCCTCGACTCTGAACCGGGCGGGCCTCGCCTTCTGCAAAAGAGGGAAAGGACTGGCGGCATCGCCAGTTCGACTCCGAGCCCGGCGATTCCGATTTCCGCTGATATGTTTTTCGGTGATGTCTCAAGCGGAACCGTGGTACCAGTCGTTGAAAGTAGGTATTTCTGGATTCCCATACTCCATTCTACTTATGGGCCTTCCTACTTCACTCATCGAGGGGCTTCACCTATTCCGTCCTCCCAAGGAGGAGGACGGAACCCAATATATTTGCAACGCCTTCCTACTTCATCTTTCTACCTGCTCCTTCCGACCGATGGGTACTGGCTCTAGCGATCCGCTTGGCAATGTTTAAAACTCCATATCCTGGCAAAATCGAGATTGCGGCTTTCCCTCGGGAGTTCCCAGACAAAAATCATTTCGGTCTGGTGTCGTGTCGAAACCCGTTGGCCCGAAGTTGACACGGCAATTCCACCCAATACTTCTTCGAACAAACGTCTTCGACCGAAGTCGAACCCCCCTGGCCAGAAATCCCAACTGCGCGGAAATGCCTACGCTACGCAGAGCAAAAAGACTTCTACTGGGGCCCCGTCGTACGGACCCTTTTCAACATGTCCTCCGTTGGCACCGGTGTAGTGGGGCCCAGCCATCGAAAGAGAAGAATTGAATGTTGGCAAAACGATCGTAGCGGCGAAATATGATGGCCCCCCGACAGCCCTCGAAAGTGGCGACAGTTTGACATTTCGCACTCCCCCAAGGAAGGCAACATGTAATTTGGCTGGACTTCTAGCAGCCTTCGAGAGTGGCGACAGACTCACACGTCGCAGCACCCTGGGGACGGCGACAATTCGTCTAGATCTGCGGAAGCCAACCCCTATGCCAGACCCCCCAGCAGCCCACGAGAACGGTGACAGACTCACACTTCGCAGCCCTCCACGGAAGGCGAGGTCTCATCTGGATCTGCGGAGGCCACACACTATGCTGGAACTCGCAGCAGCCCCCGAAAGTGACAATAGACTCACACTTCGCAGCCCTCCACGGAAGGCGAATTCTGATCTGGATCTGCGGAGGCGCCACACACTATGCTGGAACCTTGAGCAGCACACGAACGTATCTCCTTCTCCTCCTCCTCTTTCTCCTCCTGTTCCCCCTCCTCCGATTCCTCATCCATCCTCCCCATCTTGGGGTACGACAGATTACCCTGCCCTTTATTTCATTGCATTATCCTCCACATCCCGGATCAGGGCAACTCGTCCAGGCATCGTTTCTGGATCGGCTCGTTGGGCTACGCGAAGAGTGTAGAACCCCACCATCCTTCTAGGGCGTGAGAGGCTTAGGGAGTCTCTTCGTCCGACCCCCCGTACTCCCTGTCGGGGAGGCGTTCACCCCTCCCCCCACCCTCTACCCCTGGACCTGAAGGGGGCCTTCCGCGAGGGATTGAGGCGTTCAAGATGGCCTGGGCGAGGACGCCAAAATCAGTGATTGTACCAAATTGGTTTGGCCACATGTTGGCCTCCTGGGGAGGGGAGGCCGCCCCTTCTTTGATCGATCCCCTCCAAGGTGGCCCCGAGATGGTCCCCGATGCTCCCAAGGGTGCCCCAAGAGGGCCCAAAGAGGTGTCCAGGAGACCCCAAGAGGCTCCCAAGAGGCCACCATGATGCCCCCAAGGGGTACCCAAGAGACCCCCAAGACGCACCAAGAGGCCTCGTCGAGAAGGCCGGACTACATTTCCTTTTACAAGGTTTTGGCCACAGTTTGGCCTCTTGAGGGGGACCCTAAATAAGGACCCCCCTCATTTGATCGATCTCCTCCAAGATGGCCTCAAAATGGCTCCCAAGGGTGTCCCAAGACGGCCCCAAGAGGTGCCCAGGTGGCCCAGGAGGCTACAAGAGGTGCACAGGAGGCCCAAGAGGCCCCCACGATAACCCCGAGATGCCCCCAAGAGGTTCCCAAGAGACCCCCAAGAGGCTCCCAGAGGCCCCCCATACCAAGACGCCTCAAGAGGCCCCTGGGACTGCCAAGAGATCCCCAAGACGCCCCAAGCGGGCCCCAACAAACTCCCAAAGGAAATCCGCAAAGACCCCGAAAGGCTTCCAAGAGGCCTTGGGCCTTTCTGCTAGCCCTCCTCCTCCTCCTCTTCCTCCTCCTCCTCCTCCTCCTCCTCTTCCACCTTGGGCCTATCCTGCTGAGAGCCCACAACAACCACGCCTACGAGGGCTTGTGATCGAGGTCGCCAACTCCGCCGTCCGCGCGGGATTGCTGGCGCCAAGAGAAGAGCGACGGCGGCCAAGAGAGCAGACACGGCGAAGCGCAGGACCAACCGCATCATCGGCAAGATCCGCAGGCACGCATCCCCTGCCCAGATCGCCAGGGGTGCTTGGACTACGGGATGGCGACCCGTGCGCGCCCACGGCCACCAGATCATGGACCTCGCGCCGTCCTCGATCCTGCAGCAGCGCAGGCAGACAGCACAGGCGATTGGTGGACGCGTACCTGAACGGTGCCTCACCACATCGTTAGCTGCCCTCATAGGCGAGAAAGGGCAGCGCCATCGAGCTCAGAAGGCAGACCATCCTCGAGCGGCTCCACTTCGGGTTCAGGGACCCGTGCTACCACAAGCGCATCACCGAGGCCTGGAAGCTCCTCTACGACAAGACCATCAAGCCTTGGCAATGAAGAGTGGCACAAAGCACTTGGGCCCATCTCTGCGGTGCGGGCAACATTGGTGGATGCGGGCTGGACCTACCCGTTACCGCACGAGTGGGCGACCTCAACGACAGGGCGAACCTGGAGAGCAGATCTGGCTGCTACCACACTCCGAGCAGAGCGACTGGGAGACCAACCACCACAGCGCCGACCCCTCCGAGTTCGTCTTCGACTTCATCAAATCGATGGAGTATCGCCTCTGGGGCGATGCAAGTCGGCGCCCCAACGGCGAAGAGCTCCAGCGTGGAGGCCCCGACGTCCACATCGTTGGTCGCGAGATGGAGAAGCACGCCAAGTATGGCCAGTCCGACCAGGGAGTCCTCAACCTATGCGAGGTGGCTGGTGCGCAGTGGCCGAGGAGGCGGCTGCAGGAGGCGGGGCACGACGCCAGCACCATCTGCCCAAGGTGCGGCGAAGCGGAGGAGTCTCCCACGCACCGCGCCTGGCTACGCAAGCGCAACCACGGCCACGAGGAGTACGACAAGTATGACGCCCTGTTACCGCCTGCCCTTGCTGGGGCAGAGTCCCATGTCGCGTACTGGCTCCGTTGAGTGCCCGCCTGTGCTGGCACCTGTCCTGTCTTTGCCGGCACGGGAGGGGACGGTGGATTGAGCTGGATTGGGCGCAATTGGGAGGAGCGCAGGGATCAAGACGGCCTGCTCGCCTTGTTCCGAGTCGGGTCGGGTAGTCCACAAAGCTCGGACCAGCGTCGCCGAAGGGTAGGAGCAGCGACCATCGCTCTCAAGCGCAGCTCTGGAGAGTGGGCCCACTGGGGCGGCGCGACCACTGGCCTTGAGGGCCCGTTTCAAACAGTACCTCGTGTCGAATTGCTCGCTTTCGCGCTTGCCCTCGACCACTCGCTAGGCGACCTCTGCTGCATGACAGATCGTACCCCGCGTTACAACGGGTGGTGGCTCTGCCACCGCCAGCGCCTGTCTGCGGGTGCTGACCAGGACCTTTGGCACCACATCGGCCGCACCTCTATCGTGGCCCTGGCAATGTTGATGTGCAGCGCGTCCAGTCTCAGAGTGAGGAGACCGTCGGAATCGCAGCCGACCCAGTCCTCCTCTACCGCACGCTCGGCAACGCCTGCGCAGATGCTTAGCAGGTGCAGCCGCCCAGGCGTCGGGGAACACTGCACTCGTCGGCGCTCCACCACCGACGGATCTACATGACACGCAGTGCGCATTAATTCGTCGTGGCGCTCGCCGCGCGCTTGCCGACACCCTGACCATCGATCAGTGGATCGCGGAGCGACCCCCTGCAGCCAAGGGTAAGCGTCTGACCGAGCTCCAGCTCGCCATCCGCTCCAGTCAGCCCCTCTTTGAGCTGCACGAGGGCAAGTACAGGTGCCCGGCGTGCGGCGCCACATCAGACAAGATTTGTTTGATTCGCGGGTCGAGAGCGCACCTCTTCTGGTCGAAGCTAAGCGGGCCGCGCGAAGCTTGAATTACCCAGAGATGGGTGAGGAAAAGGGGGGCGCAGCCTCAGAACGAGGCCGGGAGGAGGCAAAGCCTCGGAATCAGGCGGCGCCGCACATCAGACAAGAAGCACGTCCGCGCAGCCCGTGCCGGCGCGCAGCCAGGCCATGAGGACCAACGGCAAGTGCACTGGTCGAGCCAGTTCCTGCCTCTGTCAGCGCCTGCGGTCGCCAGCAACCACAGTCATTCCCAAGTCAGGCGTGTGTTGCTGCCGCCGTACTTCGCCACCGGGTTCCTGTTCAAGGCGTTCCTTTGCAAGCACATCGTCTTCGGCACCGCCTGATGCCTGGGCTTTGCCCTCTCTTGGCCTTGACGTGAAGCCCCTCCTTCTGCCTTCCCCCTGTTAATTAAAGCTGTGCGCGGCCCGCTTAGCTTCGACCGGAAGAGATGCGCTCTCGACCCGCGGATCAAAAAGTATTGCTGCCGCGCCTGCGGCAAGACAGCGCCGAAAGGCCCACGCAAGACTGCAGATCCCTGTGCAGGCCTCACACGTAAAGGCATGGAGAACCTTGCCAAGGCCAGCAAAGGTTCCTACACCCGCGACCTCGCGGGGAGAGACGGCCACACCCCACGTGTCCGCGCAGCCTCCCACGGCAAAGCCGTGGAAGCGAAAGCCGCGCGCTCCGCCTCCTGGGTAGCGCTCCGTGCAAAATGCTGAATGTTATGTCAACCCGCCCTCGAGCACCCTGGTGCGCAATGAGTAGTCCTGAGCAGCCCTCCTCCTCCATTCCTTTTCCTTGCGAACAACTCCTGCCTGTCGCACCCCGATGCTGGTCGAAAAGGCGGGCCGGGCGTTGCGTCTGAGACCCACCCCTCTCCACATATGACCCTAAAGTTTACAAAGTGCAACAAGCTCACGGATAGAGGGCGGGCGGTTTTCAACATGTGCTTATCGCTTCAGCGCCGCGCACATCCGTCTTGAAAATTTGCAGTGACTCTAGATTCATAGAGTGGGCGGCGATTCCAGAGGATAAAAGCGAGTCAGGAGAGAAAGAGAGAGCGAGAGAGAGAGAGAGAGCAAACCAGAGAGCGAACCAAGAAAGAAACCAAAAACAGAGAGGATGATATACATATAGCCATATGAAAGGAAGAAAGAAAATGGGAAGAGAGCGATAGAAAGGGAGAGCAAGAAACAGATAAAAAGAGAGAGAGATATGTTAAAACCGAGGGGGGGCAGGGGGGAATAAGGCGAACGCGACAAAGGGACAGAGAAAGAGAGAGAGGCAAAGAGAGAGGGCGACAGAGAGAGAGGGGACAAAAAAAAGATACATAGTGAAAGAGGCCCACGTCATACAACTCTTGTTAATTCCTGGGCGGCGCCAGGTTTGGAACTACACGTGCGCATGCGCAACGTAGGTATGCTTACACATGCATTCATACACGCGCATATACACATACCCTTCCGAAAGATAGGGAAAGGGAGATATACATAGACGGAGAGGGAGGGGGAGAAAGACAGACACTGCTGACGCACAGTGACTGCCTTAGATACGCAGACGGATGTCGTTTTCTGGCGAGAGCGGGCAGTAAAGACAGAGGGTTTGAATGGAAAGAGTATAGAGGTGTGGCATGACACTGTATGTACATACGCACGCCAACCAGGGAGAAGCAAGCTCGTTGGCAGAGAGGAGAAGCAAAGCATGTATATGTTTATGTTTGTATGAACAGGCGTCTACGTGTGTATGTGTACATAGGAGGGTCTATCGACGGTGGAATCAGCAAAGCGCATACACACACAATGTGTACAAGCTTAAAACACACACACACACACACACACAGTGCGTTGTCTGGCGGGACTGAGGAAAATCCTGGGTGAAGCCCCCAGAGGTGTTCGACCTTGAAGCGGGTGCGCGTTCTTCAAGCAGGCTGCCAAATGCTTCTTTGAAGAATCCTTAGCGTAAGGCCCCTGAGACCCGCGCCAATTTTCACATGGAGGCCTCACACTCCTAAACAGAGGCCTTCACAAGGACAGCTCCCCCCAAGAGCGACAGGAGGCCGGCGTCTCTGCAGAAGCGGGGTAGGGAGGGGGGCACCCCCCCTGACTTAACAACAGTGGTAGTACTCCTAGATGTAGATGTAGTAGTAGTAGTAGTCGTCGTCGTCGTCGTCGTCGTCGTCGTCGTAGGAGTAGGAGTAGGAGTAGGAGTAGGAGTAGCAGCAGCAGCAGCAGCAGCAGCAGCAGTAGTAGTAGTAGTAGTAGTAGTAGTAGTAGCAGTAGTAGTAGTAGTACTGGTAGTAGTAGTAGTAGTAGTAGTAGTAGTAGTAGTAGTAGTAGTAGTAGTAGTAGTAGTAGTAGTAGTAGTAGTAGTAGTAGTAGTAGTAGTAGTAGTAGTAGTAGTAGTAGTAGTAGTAGTAGTAGTAGTAGTAGTAGTAGTAGTAGTAGTAGTAGTAGTAGTAGTAGTAGTAGTAGTAGTAGTAGTAGTAGTAGTAGTAGTAGTAGTAGTAGTAGTAGTAGTAGTAGTAGTAAGTAGTAAGAGTAAGAAGTAGTAGTAGTCGTAGCAGTAAGTAGTAGTAGTAGTAGTAGTAGTAGTAGTAGTAGTAGTAGTAGTAGTAGTAGTAGTAGTAGTAGTAGTAGTAGTAGTAGTAGTAGTAGTAGTAGTAGTAGTAGTAGTAGTAGTAGTAGTAGTAGGTCGTAGTAGTAGTGGTAATGGTAGTAGTAGTAGTAGTAGTAGTAGTAACAGTAGTAGTAGTAGTAGTAGTAGCAATAGTAGTAGTAGTAGGTCGTAGTAGTAGTAGCAAAACTCGTGGTACTCGTAGTAGCTCGTAACTGTCGTAGTGATCGTAATAATCGTAGTAGTTGTCGTCGTAGTAGCAGTATTACAGTAGTAGCAGTAGTACTAGAAGTAGTAGTAGTAGTAGAAGTAGGTAGTGGTAGTGGTAGTAGTAGTAGTAGTAGTAGCAGTAGAAGTAGTAGTAGTAGAAGTAGTAGTAGTAGTAGTAGTAGCAGTAGTAGTAGTAGTAGTAGGAGTAGTAGTAGGTCGTAGTAGTAATAGTAGAAGTACCCTTAGCAGTACTAGTAGTAGAAGCCACAGCTGTAGTGGGAATGGTCGTCGTAGGAATAGTAGTAGTAATAATGATAATAGATGTAATCGTTCAAACAGTAGTAGAAGTAAAAGTAGTAGTAGCCGTAATAGCAGTTGTAGTAGCACCAGTAATAGTGGCAGTAATATTAGCAACAGTCGTCGTAGTAGTAATAATAGTAGTTCGCGGTAGTGTTATTAGTAATAATAGCAGGAAGAGTGGCAAACGTATCAGTAACCGTAATCGTACAAGTAACAGAACTAGGAGCAGTACGACTACTACTACTAGTAGTAATCCTGCTAGCAGTGGTCGCAGTAGTAGTAGTAGTAGCAGTAATAAAGGCTGTGACAATGCGACTAGCAGTGTAGAAGCAATATTAAGGGTAGTAGTTGTAGTAGTTGTGGTAGTAGTAGTAGTAGTAGTAGTAGTAGTAGTAGTAGTAGTAATGATAACTACAATAGTAGTCGTAGTAACGTCAGTAATACGAATCGCAATCCCATCAGTACCACTAGTAGTAATCGCAAAAGCCGCAAAAGTTGTGGTAGTAGTCGTGGTAGTTATATATGTAGTAAGAGAAATTGCAATACACGTGGTGAGAGTTACGGTGGTAATAGTACCACTGGAACGGAAAACCAGACATACAGTAGTATAAATAGCCGTAGTTGCAGTAGTGATCGTAGTGGTACGAGTGGTAATAAGAATACCAGTGATCGAAATAGTAGCAGCAGCAGCACTACTAGCAGAAGTAGTAGTAGTAGTAGTAGCACTGGTAGTAATAGTAGTAGCAGCGGTAGTGGTAGTCGTAAGAGTAGTAACAGTAGCAGCAGCAGCAGTAGTAGTAGTAGTACTAGTAATACGAGTAGGTAAGCATAGTAGTGGTCGCAGTAATCGTAATGTTAACAATAGTGATCAGATTGATAATCGTGATAGTAGTAGTCGTCGTAGTAGTAAGAGTAATAGTGACAGTAGTGGTAGTAGCAAAAGTAGTAATAGTATTAGTAGTAGTAGAAGTACTAGTAGTAGTAGTAGTAGTAGTAGTAGTAGTAGTAGTAGTAGTAGTAGTAGTAGTAGTAGTGGTAGTAGTAAGAGCAGTAACAATAGCAGCAGCAATAGTAGTTCTTAGAATGCGAATTGGCCGTCATAGTAGTGGACGCAGTAGACGCAATGTTAATAATAATACGTTGTCTCAGTAGTAGTAGTAGTAGTAGTGATAGTAGTAGAAGTAATGGTAGTAGTAGTAGTAGTAGTAATGATAATACTAGTAGCAGGAGTACTGATGATACTGATCATAGTAGTGGTCGTGGTA